TCATTGTTTGGTAACTATTTGCTGCAAATGCAACAAAAATCAATATAAAAATATGACCCACACAGCATTCTACAGGTTACTTGTTAGTATTGTATTTAACCCGTATGACGAGTGATGAGTAGATGACGGTATCTTTGATTTATGAACGTGCAATGCCTGGAGGCATGGCTCAGTTTGAGTGAAGGGATGTGTGATGAATTTGTTTTTGCGTATCTGTTGAGTGACTTATTTAGTTGATTACTAGCGAATGGCTGTGTTATATCTGTCATCGTTTCGGCCCATTTGAGGTTCTGGACGGAACTCGACTCAGTGATTTGGAACTAATTACGATATAACCGTCGCTATTCGGACTACTATTTCTGACAGTTGGTATTCGCAGTTATTAATTTAGTGAACGATTAATCAAAAGATATGACGTGTCCAGTACTTAGTGTGATTGGCTTTATGATTGAAGGTTACGCCCTAGAGTCTTTATACTTCTTTGTAATTGGTCAAGGTTTTGAAAGTAAATAAAGTTGTTTGAGTTGGTCTTGGCGAGTACACGAGGACAGACGCAGTCTTGGGGCAGTCTAAGGCAGTCTAAGACGCAGTCTTGGGAGAGTCTTGGGTCAGCCTTGTGATACGCTTGGGGACTTTTCCCCAGGGCGCTGTGTCTTATAGAGTACTCGACTGACCGACTAAGACGAGAGTTGAAACGTATTTCGTTGTGTGCGTCTATTTGACCGTAAAGCTTAAGTGACTTTCCCGATCCCGTACCTCAAGGGGACGCGATAGAGACGAGACGAGATTTCCCCCCTGGCACGTGTGGAGAACCTCAGAGGAAGATTTCCCCCCTGATAGATTGACTGACTTTATAATGACAGGGTGAATATACGAACAGTACATATGATAAATACATCGTGCTTTCTTGTTGCAGCCTCTTTTTCTGTTCCTCTCATTCCAAGCCATTCATCTTCCACTGCAAGTACCATCACGATACGCAGACATGTACAAGACCCTCATTCCGAATAACGCCGACAGACAAAAGTACGCAGGCATGGTAACATGCATGGATGAAGCTGTCGGTCGCGTTGTCACCGCTTTGAAACACACTGGTTTATGGGAGAACAGCGTCCTTGTATTCTCAACAGGCAAGTAACATATAACGAAATAAAAGATAGTAGTATGAATATTTATAAGCGGGTCCGTAATCTGTTTGCACTCCCACTGTACCCGATGGAACTAGACTAGTATTTATGTACATCTTCACAAATGGGCGTCTTTAGGTTTGGTTATAAAAATATAAGTTTTCGACTACTTCTAAATTTAAATTAAGGCCGGGACTCCGAATTAAGTTTCGTGACTCTTTTTGAACATGTTTTGCTTTAGGCATATGTTACAACCTTATATCAGCTCAACAATAAAACAAGTTTTAGAATTATATACAAAAATATTTTGGAATGTATGTTTCTGTTTAACTGTTACTATAATTTACATGAGGTTGTCCCACCATGTTTACTCAGTAAACAGAAGTTTTAGCTAAACGCTGATAAACACCTATTGCACTAGTTGTATTTTCACTGTCAAAATGTAAAAACACGCATTTTCAAAGTACACAGAATATGCCCTCAGATATTAAATCAACATCAAGTTGATTTACCTTGTAGCTAATCACAAATATATATCAAGTTTATAATCAAATGTCACCTTCACTGTGTGAAACGAAGTGACCTGGAACCCTGGTCTTAAAATGACGTATTGTTAATTGTTTGTTCATGCTAGCAGATGGAATAAGTCATGCCTGCAAGGTTGCAAGTATTTGGGCTTATTCGTTTTGATTAAGTGCAAGATATTTCAAATTAATGTCTTGGCCTGCTATAATAGGCTTGCATTACACTATCAGGTATTGACGTATTTAATAAGTTCAAACAAATATGTCGCGTGGTACCAACATAGAACACGACACGGGGCGATGAATTTGGAACTTCAACCTTGTTAGATCTATGTTTTCGTTCTGGTAATTGTTTATTAACACGCGCTGGTGTTCCGTGATGTGGTGTGCTTCACTGGAACACTTATCAAATCAAAACTGTCATAGCACAAATATTGGTTTTATCCCATGCAGACAATGGCGGAATTCTTGGTGGCAACTGGCCTCTGAGAGGCAGTAAAGCGTCGTTATATGAAGGCGGTGTCCGTGGAGTGGGATTCGTCACCAGTCCATTGCTGCCCAGCAGAGTCCGCGGCACGGTCAACAGAGAGCTGCTACACATGACTGATTGGCTTCCTACCTTGGTTCGATTGGCTGGTGGCGATTTGATGGGCACTAAACCATTAGATGGTTACAATCAGTGGGAAACAATCAGGTCAGTCACCTTGTTGCACTATATATATATATTCTGGATTATTGGAGAAGATTGGAGGTAATTTGTTAATGAAACAAATTAGTCTAACGGCGATATTTTAAAGGGCGGCAGTCGTCGTGCCGCGTCCTGTTCGATATGGGACCCATAGCGACGTATACAACGCGTGTAAAATACATTGTTTATTTACATGAATTTCGAACACGCGCTGCGCGACGACCACCGCGCTTTAAATTGACCTCATTAATCTTCATCTTTATGAGGTCGTTCATGATAATTAGTTCGTGATGTTTCATGTTGAAATATTTTACAAGAACAAATGCCCCAATGTCTTGTAGTCACCCTTATAGTTTTTTTTTTATTTATATCCTTGTATTTTATCATAGTCGAACGACTTCATGGATAATTCATAACATTACGTAATTTTTAGGTGATGTCATTTTGAAAACTAACCCGAACATTTTCAAAACATTGTTCTCATGTTCGCTCAACGCTCGAATCTTACGTGATTCATGCACTTTTCACTGCTTATATAAAGTTATGCCATTTAACACTGATTTATTCAATATTGAACTCTACTAATTATGGAGTTATATTCTTCGTGGCAAGCACGAATATGTAACAAAGTTTGTTGTCTGCTTTACGCCACTCCGCGGATCAGAATATATGCTGCCTTCTATTTCCATATGCTGGACTCTTTCCATATGCCTCTGAAATTGTACCCATGTGATCAGCGAAAAAAAAACAGAATAATGTTTCTGTACTAGCGCGATGAAATTATGAACCAACACGATAGTTAATATAAAAATTACAGAAAATGTTCACAGATTCCTACCGAAAAATGATTACAACCACCTTAACAAAGAGTTAGTCTTTCTATTGTGACTAATCCTTGTATGGATTTAGTCACTCAGTGCAGCGATTCCAATTGTTCAGTTGGCATGACAATACCTCCGGTTAACAATTACAGACAATCTTGTTTCTCAGTTTGTTGACTCCAATGAAATCAACATCTTTGTATTGCTACCTTCGTCATTATTATAGCCCAATACCAAAGACTCGTGAAGACTTATATATTTTACATTAGTATGTCTGTCTCTCAGTCTTGACTGATTCTCGACTACTTGACGGGCTCTAAACTGACTTCTGGTTGATTGTGACTACTGTATAATCGGAGTATAACTTTTTTTTTATTTTGTACTGTGCGAGACCAAGCGCATATTTGTGTATTTTTAAGCTGAATGTTCCAGAAAGCTCTATGATGTCACCGCACTTTATTTAGATGGACTCGTACTGAGTGACTATACCATAAACTGATCGGGAACAATATAATGTATTCTCAAAAAACAAAATACATCTGTGTCATACATTTGTAGTAATACTAATTACACTCTTGCTTTGCAGAATACATAAATGTAATAAATACCTTAACAAAATAGAAATAGTTTTTGCTGCCAAAATGCAAATGGTCGCTGAGATATCGTTGAAAGTGAGAGTACCGAGACGTGTTCCATTCCATTCCTTCCCTCATATAGTCTACTCTTCCACAGATACATTTAACCATCGGCATACATCGGCATTTGTATCACCCGAATAGGTATTGAGTATTTACTGGAACCATACTAGGCGTTAGTGAAGTGGTCTATAACAAGGGGAACGTCACATGTATTCCAGCCTACAGAAATTTATTGGTCTACAAGAAAATGACGATATTAAGGCTTGCAGGCACTTGAGGCCAAACAATTTGTTGTTTTTAATTCAGGCAAAGTGTCTGAGGTCTAATTCACACTAAACTACACTAACATTAACGAGAACAACTATGCCTTAATATAACCTTGGTTTCAGCCAATAGTCTGTATTAATTATTCAAAATAATGTTACGACTGCTTACAACCGATGACTGCGATTAGCTTTGTGAGTACTAACCAACTTAACTGTTAACTTAACTCTCCTACAGTCAAGGTACACCGTCTGTTCGAGATGAAGTCTTGCTGACTATTGACCCACTGATAGCGAAGGCGCATCATTTTAAAGATGATCCGTACGCTGACAATGATAGTTTCAATGTTTTAATAAGAGCGGCTATCAGAGTTGGTGACTGGAAACTTATTACAGGACCACCCGGTGAGCAATGAAGTTTTTGTTAGTTCTTATTGAGGAGGTGTTAAGAAACTATGTGTACTATGTCTGTATTATATTTGTAGAATGATTTGCACATTTACACTAGAATTCACTGTTTATAGGGAATTTAAACGCAATTGTTAAGGTTAGGTCAATCGTTGGATACCCGAACAAACTATATATTCTGCCGTGCAATATTGCACTAAAATAACATAGCGTTAAAAGTTTGGCCTCGCGATTGTAGCACATGTACTGTAAAATGACTAATTTTCACTGGGTTTAAATTTCACTGATTTAGCATTTCAGGCATATTCAGTGGGTCACGATTTTATGATTTATAGATAATGTGTGCTATGCCCTATGGTTTTTAATTTAGCTCATTTTCCAGTCAGCGAAATAAGCAAAATTAAAACCCAGTGTGCCATTGTAATTTACAGTAAAACGCATTCGCAATTACGTATGACGCACGCGTGTCATACTAGTTTGTGTGAAGTGTGTCATATACAAGTATATTTATGTCTGACGTATACGTAAACAAAAAAAACAACAATAATCTTTATGTTTCTATAAAAGGTAATGGTAGCTGGGGTACTCCTGTCGAATTTGGCTTCAAATATCTTCATCCCCCAAAACGAACGCACTCTGTACAGCTATACAACGTAGTCGCGGATCCGAACGAAAGAAACGACTACTCTCATGACAGACCGGACATAGTTCGCTTCCTTCTGGCTCGCATTGGTCACTACTATAACACTTCTGTTCCTGTTCTTGACCCAAGTCAGGAAATTTTACTCGCCGATCCTGCTCGTCATGGCGGCGTATGGTCACCATGGAGATAACATTATTTGAATAGCATGGTTCGTGAATGACGTCACAGATTTCGACCGATTCATCGAATGCATTTTAGGGATTACTCTGGAACACGAAATAAAAAAATATATACAGTTACTAAATAATAAAACTGTAAAATTGTCGAAAATTTGTAAAGGTGAAAGAGAGTACATCTAACTATATGTGGCACCTGTTATATATCATCTTGAAGCAAAACGAAATGGTTTATTTACATCAGGCACGTTCCCTTTATGCCACACATTTGCTATTCTATTTAACCATAAGCGCATTATATTCGCTCTCTACAAAACCATTGGTTTAATAGTTTGATCAAATAAAGAGAATGTCCCTTTAAAAAGTATGTACACGTACTACACTATATTAGATATCTCAGTAAATAATGAAAGCACGAGACCGGATAATACTTTATGCATTCGCACGTTGTCTAGTTAGTTGTAACGGTGTATCTACAATTGTAATCCGGGTATCAGACATGCACATAAATAATCACAATATGTGGCCAGTTAAGAGTTTATCTAAATCTCTTTATGTAAAGTG